CCATGCCTCCCACTGTCTCCCATGCCTCCCACTGTCCCCCATGCCTCCCACTGTCTCCCATGCCTCCCACTGTCTCCCATGCCTCCCACTGTCTCCCATGCCTCCCACTGTCTCCCATGCCTCCCACTGTCTCCCATGCCTCCCACTGTCTCCCATGCCTCCCACTGTCTCCCATGCCTCCCACTGTCTCCCATGCCTCCCACTGTCTCCCATGCCTCCCACTGTCTCCCATGCCTCCCACTGTCCCCCATGCCTCCCACTGTCTCCCATGCCTCCCATTCACTGCTGTTTTGGAAAGTTTTTCTGTGTTATTTTACATGTGAAAATTGTGAGGCATCTTTCTCGCTCCTTTTCAGAATTTATAATTTACGAGAATTTAGGTGTTTTTAATAACTTATGACTGAATTGTTACGAGCAGTGAAAATTTACTCCGTCACACAATCATTGTTCCTCTACCACTCCGTCACACACTCATTGTTCCTCTTCCACTCCGTCACACACTCATTGTTCCTCTTCCACTCCGTCACACACTCATTGTTCCTCTTCCACTCCGTCACACATTCATTGTTCCTCTTCACTCCGTCACACACTCATTGTTCCTCTTCCACTCCGTCACACACTCATTGTTCCTCTTCCACTCCGTCACACACTCATTGTTCCTCTTCCACTCCATCACACACTCATTGTTCCTCTTCCACTCCGTCACACATTCATTGTTCCTCTTCCACTCCGTCACACACTCATTGTTCCTCTTCCACTCCGTCACACACTCATTGTTCCTCTTCCACTCCGTCACACACTCATTGTTCCTCTTCCACTCCGTCACACACTCATTGTTCCTCTTCCACTCCGTCACACACTCATTGTTCCTCTTCCACTCCGTCACACACTCATTGTTCCTCTTCCACTCCGTCAGACACTCATTGTTCCTCTTCCACTCCGTCACACAATCATTGTTCCTCTTCCACTCCGTCACACACACTCATTGTTCCTCTTCCACTCCGTCACACAATCACTGTTCCTCTTCCACTCCGTCACACAATCATTGTTCCTCTTCCACTCCGTCACACACTCATTGTTCCTCTTCCACTCCGTCACACAATCATTGTTCCTCTTCCACTCCGTCACACACTCATTGTTCCTCTTCCACTCCGTCACACACTCATTGTTCCTCTTCCACTCCGTCACACAATCATTGTTCCTCTTCCACTCCGTCACACACTCATTGTTGAACTTAAACAACGTAATATACTCACTACTCCTCTTGCCCATTGTCACATGAACATCGTTCCTCTTAGCGACACATACATTGTTCTTTCACACCGTAACGTACACATTGTTCATCTTGCCAACCATCACAAAAAAGACCGGAGATGGAGTACAGGCTGCAAACCTCACTCAAGGGAAAGGACCTCGTGATATGTATTGTTCCGAGGATGTCGTCTGAGGCGCACATCAGCCAAATAACTGCTGCAGCAATGTATGTCTGGCATGTCTAAAATCAGCCTACAAGGAATCAACCTGGAGGGTGGGTGTCCCAGGGGGTCAACAGCCCCTCGACTCAATCCACGACCAAGCCTCGTAGTGGATCAAGGCTTTATCAGCTAGGCTGTTTCTGCCGGCTGCACGCAATTCAGGAATGAACCACAGCCCGGCTGGGCTGATACTGACTGTAGGTATCTGTCCAATTCCCTCCTGAAGAGAGCCAGAGATCTGTTGGTAATTTCCCTTATGTAAACTGGGAGGCAATTGAAAAGTCTTGGACCCCTGACACTTGTTGTGTTATCTCTTAGTATACTCACGACATCTCTGCTTTTCACTGGGAGGATGTGCACCGCCTGCCGTGTCTTGATTTCGTAGGGACAAGTCCTTCTAGGATTTTCCAGATGTAAATTATGATGCATCTTTCTTACCTGCATTCCAGGGAGTACAGATCAAGACTCCCTGGAATGCAGGCAAGAAAGGTGCATCATAATTTACATCTGGAAAATCCTAGAAGGACTAGTCCCTACGAAATCAAGACACGGCAGGCGGTGCACATCCTCCCAGTGAAAAGCTGAGATGTCGTGAGTATACTAAGAGATAACACAATAAGTGTCAGGGAACCAAGACACTTAAAACGGTCCGTGTAACTGAAGTGCTGTCTGTACTTAGACGTGCAGTGAAGGTTCTCTGTATATTCTCCAGATCTGCAATTTCGCCTGTAGTATTCCAGCCTAGACAGAACAAGTGACTAACAGAGGATCATCATTAGCTTGGCATCTCTTGTTTTGAAGGTTCATATTATCCATCCATTATTTTTTCTAGCAGATGTGATAGTGACACTGCTGTGATCTTTGAAAGTGTGATCCTCTAACATTATCACCCCCAGGTTCTTCATATTAGTTTTCTTTTATATTGTGTGGTTAGAATTTGTTTTATACTCCTGTCTAGCTTTTATTTCCTCAAGCTTTCCTTAGCAAAGTAACTCAAGTTTGTCGTCATTGAACTTCAAATTGTTTTATGTGGCCCATCGGAAATCTTGGTTCATATCTGCTTGGAGATTTGCAGTGTCCTCAGTGGATGACACTCTCAAGCAAATTCTAGCGTATCAAAAAAGGAAGACAGCTTGCAGGAACCTCAGCAAGGAGTTATTAGCGACACTATATACTGTATATGTCAGACACATAATGGAGTACCACAATGGAACTCATACCTGATCAAACATGTCATGAGGCTGGAGAAAGTACAGAGGTTTGCAACGAGACTAGTCCCAGAGCTAAGGGGTATATAAGCTTTGAGAAGATGTTAAGGGAACTAAACCTGATGACCTTAGAGGAAAGAAGGACTAGCGGCGATAGGATAACGTTCAAAATATTGAGACGACTTGAGAGAGTGGACAGGTTGAGTGTGTTCAAGAGATGGGACACAGGAAGACGAGGGTATAGCTGGAAGTTGAATGTACAGGTGAATCACAGGGATGTTAGGAAGTATTTCTTTGGCACACACAAACACTGCACCTCTCACTCACCGTCACACATTGTACCTCTCACTCACCGTCACACACTGTACCTCTCACTCACCGTCACACACTGTACCTCTCACTCACCGTCACACATTGTACCTCTCACTCACCGTCACACACTGTACCTCTCACTCACCGTCACACACTGTACCTCCCACTCACCGTCACACACTGTACTTCTCACTCACCGTCACACACTGTACCTCCCACTCACCGTCACACACTGTGCCTCTCACTCACCGTCACACACTGTACCTCTCACTCACCGTCACACACTGTGCCTCTCACTCACCGTCACACACTGTACCTCTCACTCACCGTCACACATTGTACCTCCCGCTCACCGTCACACACTGTACCTCCCACTCACCGTCACACACTGTACCTCTCACTCACCGTCACACACTGTACCTCTCACTCACCGTCACACACTGTACCTCCCACTCACCGTCATACACTGTACCTCTCACTCACCGTCACACACTGTACCTCTCACTCACCGTCACACACTGTACCTCCCACTCACCGTCACACACTGTACCTCTCACTCACCATCATACACTGTACCTCTCACTCACCTTCACACACTGTACCTCTCACTCACCGTCACACACTGTACCTCTCACTCACCGTCACACACTGTACCTCTCACTCACCGTCACACACTGTACCTCTCACTCACCGTCACACACTGTACCTCTCACTCACCGTCACACACTGTACCTCTCACTCACCGTCACACACGGTACCTCCCACTCACCGTCACACTGTACCTTTCACTCACCGTCACACACTGTACCTCCCACTCACCGTCACACACTGTACCTCCCACTCACCGTCACACTGTACCTCTCACTCACCGTCACACACTGTACCTCTCACTCACCGTCACATACTGTACCTCTCACTCACCGTCACACACTGTACCTCTCACCGTCACACACTGTACCTCTCACCGTCACACACTGTACCTCTCACTCACCGTCACACACACTGTACCTCCCACTCACCGTCACACACTGTACCTCTCACTCACCGTCACACACTGTACCTCTCACTCACCGTCACACACTGTACCTCCCACTCACCGTCACACACTATACCTCTCACTCACCGTCACACACTGTACCTCCCACTCACCGTCACACACTGTACCTCCCACTCACCGTCACACACTGTACCTCCCACTCACCGTCACACACTGTACCTCTCACTCACCGTCACACACTGTACCTCTCACTCACCGTCACACACTGTACCTCTCACTCACCGTCACACAAACTGTCTTTCATTCATTTTCCCGCCAACAGTCAAGGATTCAAAATTATGTAAATCCGGGAATCTGAAAATCTGGTAATCTGATAAAGTAGAAATGCAATTAGCAGAGGCCCCCCGCCGAGACAATGGCATTACCTGAGTGTACACAGCAGAGCAAGTCTGCAAAATCCTGGCTAATCATATTCAGGCAACTGAGCTAATTACCAAACTTTCCGCCAGAGTTTATGGCGCCGGGAAGCGCAAAATTATCAAAATTATCAAAATTATTCGCGTTAAGGCCCGCGCGGATGAGGCTGTCAGGCCTGGCGGACGCGAAAATTAATACCTCCTCTAGGATATTTTTTTTTCATTCCCCCTTCGTAATGCTTGTGATCGTCCAGGGGTGAGAATGACTCGGCCGGGGGGAGGGGGAGAATGACTCGTCCAGGAGGTAGAATGACTTGTCCAGGAGGTAGAATGACTCGTCCAGGAGGTAGACTGACTCGCTCAGGAGGTAGAATGACTCGTCCAGGAGGTAGAATAACTCGTTCAGGAGGTAGAATGACTCGTCAATCAGGTATAATGACTCGTCCAGGAGGTAGAATGACTCGTTCAGATAGAATGACTTGTCCAGAAAGTAGAATTACTCGTACGGGAGGCAGAATGACTACTCTGGGCGGAAGAATGACTCGTCCAGCAGGTGGAATTACTCATTCAGGAGGTAGAATGCCACTTCCAGGAAGCAGAATGACTCGTCTAGCAGGAAGAATGACTAGGCTAGGAGGGAGAATGTATCGTCCAGTAGGTAGAGTGATTCGTCCAGGAGGCAGAATGACTCCTCTGGGAGGTGGAATGACTCGTCCAGGAGGTAAAATGGCTCCTCTGGGAGGTAGAATGACTCATCTAGGAGGTCGAATGGCTCTTCCAGAAGGTAGAAAGATTCATCCAGGAGGCAGAATGGCTCGTTCAGGAAGCAGTATGACTCGTCTAAGAAGCAGAATGATTCATCCATGAGGCAGAATGACTAGTCAAGCAGGTATGATGACTCGTCCAGGACATAAAATGACTCATCCAGGAAGTAGAATGGCTCATCTAGAAGTAAGAATGACTCGTCCAGGAAGCACAATGACTCATCCAGGAGGCAGAATAACTCGTCCAGTAGGTATAATGACTCGTCCAGGAGGTAGAATGATTCGTCCAGGTGGTAGAATGACTCGTTCAGATAGAATGACTTGTCCAGGAAATAGAATTACTCATCCGAGAGGCAGAATGACTCGTCCAGCAGGCATAATGACTCGTCCAGCAGGCAGAATGACTTGTCCAGCAGGCAGAATGACTCGTTCAGGAGGTAAAATGACTAGTCTAGCAGGCAGAATGATTCGTCCGGGGGGGAAGAGGGAAAGGGAGAATGACTCGCACAGGGAGGAAGAATGACTCGCCCGAGGATTCGCCTTTTTGGAAAGTTTTCGCCGGAATTAAGCGATTAAGTCTGATAGCGGGAAGAGCAGAGGCGCTGATGAGGAGGTAGTTTGCGCCAGCCAGGTCCACCAGCACTATAACAAGGTCGTGTAGCCTCACGTCAGCAAACTGAAAGAAAAGTATTCATCCCTCCCACCCGCCTCTCCCGACCAGGACACACACACACACACATGGAAGATATGCCCCCCCCCCTACCTTTTTTTTTTTTAACCCCACCAAGTGTCTACACCAAAGTCACCAGCCCAGTTCAACGATCCACACAGAGGTGTCGTCTCACTCCAGGACCCACAGTGCTCCAAACAAGGATCTACTTCTACACGAAAGTCTCCCATCCAGTGTTATGGGGGAAAATGCCTGCTGAATATTTTTAAAACCTGGAGGTTGTGAGGCCTACTGAGGTTCCAATGGAACCTCCATTGGCTTCACAAACATTGGAGGATCCTCCATGGAATTTTGATGTGCACGTAGACCCTCTGTTTGAGTTGGTATTCAACACGGCGGTCACATACAAGGAGGTTGTAATGTTATGGCTGGAAAAGAGGATGAGAGAGAGAAGTCAGTGGTGTTCTTGCTGGCTACGTCAACAAATCAGCTGGGAGCTCTGGACTGAGTCTGATCCAGGCTGCAAATAACATCTATAAAAGCTGTGTCAATGAGGACTTGGGCAATCCTGAATGTGTCCTGCATTCGTCCCTCGGTTCTGCTCACTTCCAGTATATGTTCACCTTTTCTGGTATATTGTTGACAGAAGTGTAAAAGACTGCCGATATTTAATAACCTTTGTATGGAGACTTTGCATCACCGAGTCCATGCAGATATTGCAAAGAGTCTTGTCAGTTCCTACTTAATCTGGCCTTGTGAAGGGTAATGAAACGCCTCAAAGTCTCGAACCCAGTTTAATCCATTTTTATGGAAAGAGAAATGAAAAATCTAAAGCACAGATATATAACCAAGAGGGAAAATTACAGTAGATACATTAAGTTTATAAAGTTTACTCATATATAAAATACATGAAATGTTACCTGATTGAATCGAAGACACAAGTGGTGGTGGTGCTAGTTGTGGTGATTGTGGTAGTGCAAGTGGTGGTGGTGATGGTGATTGTGATACAAGTGGTGGTGGTGGTGGTAGTGGTGGTCGTGGTGATGGTAGTGGTGGTAGTGGTAGTTGTGGTAGAAGTAGTGGTGGTAGTAGTGGGTGGTGGTGGTGGTAGTAGTGGTGGTGGTGATGGTAGTGGTGGTAGTGGTAGTGGTGGTAGAAGTAGTGGTGGTAGTAGTGGGTGGTGGTGGGTGATAGTAGTGGTGGTGGTGATGGTAGTGGTGGTGGTAGTGGTAGTGGTTGTGATGGTAGTGGTGGTGGAGGTGGTAGTGGCAGTGGTTGTAGTGGTAGTGGTGGTAGTAGTGGTGGTGGTAATGGTAGTGGTGATGGTAGTAGTGGTGATAGTGGTAGTAATGGTGGTAGTGATAGTAGTGGTGGTAGTGGTAGTAGTGGTGGTAGTGGTAGTGGTTATGGTAGTGGTAGTGTGGTGGTGGTATGGTGGTGGTAGTGGTAGTATGGTGGTAGTGTAGTGGTGATGGTAGTGGTAGTGTGGAAAGTGACAGTGGTGGTGGTGGTGGTAGTGGTGGTGGTAGGGGGTGGTGGTAGTAGTGGTAGTGTAGTAGTGGTGTGGTATGGTAGTAGTGGTTAGTGGTGGTGGTAGGGGTGGTGGTGTAGTGGTGTATAGTGGTAGTAGTGGTGGTAGTGGTAGTAGTGGTGGTAGTGGTAGTGGTGATGGTAGTGGCAGTGGTGGTAGTGACAGTGGTGGTGGTAGTGGTGGTGGTAGTAGTGGTAGTGGTTGTAGTGGTAGTAGTGGTGGTGGTAATGGTAGTGGTGATGTTAGTAGTGATGGTAGTTAGTGGTGGATAGTGGGTAGTAAGTGGTGGTCTGGTTGAGTATGAGTGTGATTGGTAATGGTAGTGTAGTGGAGATGGTAGTGGTAGTGGTTAGTAGGGTAGTAGGTGGTGTGGTGGTGGTAATGGTAGTGGTTGATGGTTTGTGGGATGGTAGTCAGTGGTCCTGTAGTGAGGTAGTAGTGCGGTGGTAGATGGTAGTGGTGATTGGTATGGTAGTTGGTGGTGATGGTGAGTGGTGTGTGAGTAGTGCAAGTGGATGGTAGTGGGTTAGTAGTGGTGGGTGAGTGGTAGAGTAGTGGTGGTAGTGTAGTTATGTTGGAATAGGTATTGAGTTGTGGTGGTGGTAGTGGTGGTAGATGGTGAGTATATGCGAGTATGGGTAGTAGTGGTGTAAGTGGAGTAAGTGTGGTGGCAGTGGTGAGTGGTGCGATGGTATAGGTAGTGGAGTGTTAGATGGTGAGAGGTGTAATGGTGGTTGGGTGGTAGTAGTTGGTAGTAGTGTAGTAGTGGGATGGGTAGTTGGAAGTAGTGGTGAGTGGTAAATGGTAGTTGAGTGAGTGGTATTTGGTGATGGTAGTAGTGGTGAGATAGATGGTAGTTAGAGTGTTGGTAGAGGAATTAGAGGTGTAGTGGTATAAGTGGTTGGAAGCAGTTAGTGGTGATGGGTCAGAGATAGTGGTGGTGATGGTTGTGGTGGAGCTTTATGGTCGGTATGGTTAGTATAGGTATTCTAGTGTGGTGGTAATGGGATTGGGAGGTGGTGATAGTGGTATGGTACGTGTGGTAGTATCGTGGTAGTGGGTAGTAGTGTGCCAGTGATACTTAGTGATTAGATAGAGTGCGTTAGAGAGGTGAAGGTAGTGATCGAGGTTGTGATGGTATACTTTAGTGTGTTGTGAAGTGTAAGAGTAGAGTTGTGTGTCAGTGAGGTAGTATTGGCGGTAGTGGTAGTGGAGATGTTAGTGGTACATTGGTGATATGGTGGGTGGTGGTGAAAGGTTTCTTGGTTGGAACGGTAGTGGTAGTGGTAGGTATTTGTGGTATGTGGTAGAGTAATAGGTGGTAGTAGGTTTGAGTTGGTTGAGGAAATGGTATGTTATGAGGCGGTGGTGATGGTAGTAGTGTGTGATAGTGTGTGTAGAAGTGGTGGTAGTGTAGTATTGCGTGGTTATGGTATCAGTAGTGGTGGTACTAGTAAGTTGATTGAGTAGTGTATTGAGTGGTGTGGTTAGAGGTGGTGGTAGTGGTAAGTGTGGTAGTGGTATTGGTAGGTGGGTGGAAGTAGTAGTTTGTGATGGTTAGTGGTAGTGGTGGTCAAGTGTTACGTGGTGGAAGTGACAAGTTGGCTGTTGGTAGTGATGGGTGTATCGTGGTAGGAGAGTTAAGTGGGTTTTATTGGTGTACAGTGGTAGTGTAGGTGGAGTTGTGGTATGGTTAGTGGGTGAGTGGTGATGTTATTGTAGTGGAGGTAGTGAGACAGTAGGTTGTGGTTGTAGTGATGTGTTGGGTGTTTATTAGCGAACCTAGGAGATTCAAATGGCCTTTATCCCAGGAGTAATGGAGCAAATAAACACAGTAGAAAAAGTTTTATACTTATAGTTATCCTTCACAAAAACTCAACCAATCTTATAATCAGCAATATGTACACTATTTACATTGATAAATATATGCCGCTCGTGCCACTGAAAGCAAGGGCAGAAATAGAATGCCACGCAAGAAGCAGACCGTGCTTCCAACCAGCTCTAGAGTGGGAATGGGACAAGGGCAGACAGGAGAGCGGCTATCCACAAAACCTGCTGCGATTGTCAATCCTCTATCCTACCTATTGGCTAGAACCTGGTCACTATGTTGTAACGAATGGGGCCCCATCATTCAACTCTTAGCAGCAACCTGTGTTCGCTGGTTGGGGAGATAGCCTGTAAAATAGGGTGTGTCCAATGTCGCCGAATAAAGGTTTACGTAACTCTTAGCATGCCACATGCCGGCCCAGCTCCCCCGATACGGCTCAGGATTAGGCTGCGCACGGGGTCCCAGTGATAACCACCGGTGCGCCATGGCACAAAATAATGGGAACCTGCCTATCCTCGTCGCGAACCCATCCACCTCCTATTTAGATAGAGCTCAGCTTTTTTCCATAGTGCCTGAAAGGCCAAACCCTAACTCTCAGAGTGCGTGAGACAGCAGTCAGATATTCCAACATAGAGGTCCCAAGATACAAGTTGACGTGAAGCGGTAGCCCGAATTCCCCCTCACGAAAAAAAAAACCACCCACTCAGGGAGAGGATAAAAAAAAGGAGCATTGAAAGGGTGGTTTTACCGACAAATACATCCAACGCTAGAATAAAATATTAAAACTTCTGGGACTCATGAGACAAAGAGAGTCTCTGCCGAACAGCGATATCTTTGCCTGGCAATGTAACGAATTTTGAGTTATATGGCTGCAGCCTGAGCGGCCAACGCATAAGCCGTTGTGTTGTGATTCTTCATTGGCTTGGAATAGACTAACGGGTTGTGATCA